CCTTTGTTACTAGTAGCTTCTTGTTACTAGCAATAGTGCTAGGAGCTGCTAGTAGCGTCCTTGCTACTAGTAGCGATGCCCTTTGTTACCAGCAGTGTGGTTGTTCGGTCATTGGTGCCCTGAAGAAGGGGTCAACGTTGACAATGTTGACACACATATGGTCACGTACGAAGAGATCCTTCGCCCGTGTAGACTGGGTGCGCCATCAGAAGAAGCATGTCATGGCGATGCTGAAATGTTTGGCTCAACTAAAAAGGGCGAAGCTCGCAGAAATGGCAATCAAGCAGGAGGCGTTGTGAGTTTGCTGTGTGAAATGAACCCGATGTCAAATTCTACGGCCCATGTAGATCTATGTCCCACTCTGGCAATTATGTGGCACAGTTGAATATGTTTTGTGAGCTGTTTTGGTGTCAATACTCAGATTCATAGGCCTTGAACTTTGTAAAGAATGAAGCCCCAAGTCAGACCTGCAAACTGCCTCTCTTGTTCCTTCGTGACTAGTCTACACTCGAGTGTAAAACGTGAGATGCGGTTCTGTTTGGAAGCTCGCAATAGAAAAACGAAGGAAGTGTTGTCAGATATTCTCAGGCTGCCTTGGCACAGATCCATGGCTCTTCGCGCCTTTTCCGGGAGACACTTGGCAGGGTGGGGAGGGCTGTTTGAGAACTGCCGAATGAGCATTGTGTCAGTTCGGTTGGATGAATACGATGAACTAATGAACGCTTGAACCATTTGAAGAGCAATAGCTAAATTAAATCACTATGTACTTATATAGCAATTGTTTGCATCGCCAAGGATCTTCCAAGAGACAAGCAGTGGCGATTTTGGCATCCATATCAAAGATGGACCACTTTTCCGCTGCCACACACGCAACTCGATCACAGTCCCAATTTGCTTTACTTACTGTATACAGGCAAAAGACAATGTCGTGACTTTTTTTGAATGATTGCTACCCTGCCTTGGGGGGAAGTCTCTGCGGAAAGTCGTCTCTTTTTCCCAAACACAAGCGAACTCTGTTGGTTGGAAAGGGACCTACTTTTAGGTTGTATGCTGGGGCTCTCATCGAAAGGTGTTTTAACGCTGTACTGGCAACTCATAAGGATTTAATAATGCCTGCTGAAGCAATGAGTTTCTTATTCTGCAGTGGGTCCTGCATACAATCCACAAGGAATTTCCCACATACATGCGAGACAGGTACAGGAAGCAACACAGTCATTTCCAGGCTTGCCAGTGCAGTTCGCAATGGAACACCTGTGGACTTGGACAGATTACGCCAAGATAGCGAGGGCACGCTTCCTATATTGAGATAAGAACCCCACTAGCTCTCCCAGTAGCTCTCGTTGCAGGGTGTTGCTGCCAGACGTTTGTGGTAGTGCGCGCTTTGCTGGTATCGCTTTTCTGCCACTGTCTGGGCTTGGCATATTTTTTGGTCGGGGGTGTGCAGTTTTGGACCTCGCCTGGATCTCGCCCGGGCCTCGCCCAGAGCCATCATCCTCCTGTTGCTGCTGTTCGTGTGCTGCTGCTGGTGTTCTGCTGCTTGTGTGCTGCTGCCACTGCTTGGCTGCTTCCACACTGTAACTGGATTTTCGATGCAAAGCCCAAACATTCTTTCAATCGATCGAAAAGTTGGTGGCAGAATTTCTACAGCGTTCCATTGGGATTGACACGCAGAAAGCGGATGTAAGTCAATCAAACCCACACTCTTTCAGAACTAGCGTTCCATTGGTCTTTGCACTCTTTGGGTCGTTTTTTGGTGACAAACCTTGATTGGGTATCAACGTTCCATTGGGGCTGGCTCCCGGGGGAGATTTGGTGATGATTTTTTGGAAACAGCGTTGTCATGGTGATTTGGCATTGGAACAATGACTAGGGATGATTGAGGGATGATTTTGTCAGGTTCCTGTATAGCTTAATGTAATTGCTTGGTTTTGTGGTCAATGAGGGCGTACGTGTGATTATTACTGACTACATGCGGCTGAGGCATCCTAGATTCATCAGGAGGCTTTTGTGGGAAAGTCCGTGCCTTGCATCAGTGCTTTAGGTTTTAGAAGTGGTGGCTTAGTCGCCATAGGCTGCTTTGTTATTTGCAACCCGATCAGTCATCCATCGCGCACTGCATTGCCAGAATCACCTACACAATGTTGCGCTAATGAAACCATTGTTTTGATTTGCATTCTGCGGTATGTACACAATGCCAATACACAAGGACAGTTCGGGAAGCTAATGAGCAGAAATGCAGACCATGATGAGATTCCAGCTGCCAAAGACTATTTCAAAGCTCATGGCTGCTGAGTCGCGTTTTGCTTGTTGATTTGGGTCTTTTGGCCAGGCTAGACCTGTAATTAAGGAGAGACAGAGAAGGAGCGTTTTGTGTGATGTTGGATGAACGTCGTCCCTTGACCCTCCACCCAGCAGCTCAATGTGGATTTCCGCAGCTGAAGGCTACACCAGACTGCTGGACGACTTGCAGTCCATTCAGTTTTCGCAGCCCATTGAACGTTCTGCCTCTTGGATGGCCCTGGCATATGCTTCAACTTTTGCGGCCTTTAGCTGCAGGATTTACAAGAGTTCGTCAGTGCCAGCCAGACTACCACAAATGATTTTGCTTGTTGCCGTTGCGGAGTATATATATATATATTATACATTTTTATACAGTATACACAATTTTATATACACGATATGTTATATACATATATTTCAACTTAAACATGGTCTGGAGTTTGGGGATGTGTTTTCATGTATTGAGGCCCTGAACGGCTCAATTGCAAGCAAGCTGGGTGGCAAGCGAGAGGATCCGCTAAAGCCAGGTTGTGACCTCAAAGACGTTCAGTGTTCGGGTGAGGGCAAATAACAAATTATATGCGAGCTAGCAGATCTAGACCAAATGGCAAAGCACTTGGGAGTTGGAGCAGCTTGACCCGCTTGTGACTGTTTGAATTGAGGCTTTTCCACTGCACATTTCATTGGTGGCACCGTGGGCACCAACAAGCGGGCAGACCCCTTTTTCCTCGCAGCCCCTTGTTGTTGCCAATGCAGCTGAAGCATGTTCAATCGTTCTTTAGAATGGCAGTCTCATAGCTTGATTCTCTAGTGTATCCAAATGACAATCCGTTTTGGAAATCAATTGACAAGCTGCACCCAGGAGCGATACGAGATACAATGTGACTGTGCTACTTGGCCTTCCAATCCCCCAGCTACTAACGCTGTTCTAGCGCTTGAGCAGTCTGCCTGTTGTTCAAGCTGAGCAAGTACAGCTGGAACTGGAACCTTCAATCGCTTTGTGTCAAGGAGCTGATGGCCGAACTGCTCAGATTTATCTACTGCGGTGGGAGGCTGAGGGCGTACAGCAATCGAGCAAGGTTTTGTTGCCGGACAAGGAAGCAAGTGCAGCCGATTCACCCATGAAACCACACAAGTCGTGTGGCCCGAGCAACTCCACTGCTAAGGCGAGATGTCTTTCTTCCAAGGAGAGGCGCACAACGACAAGGCCTGAGCACACCTTGGAAGCTGGACAGCTCACTTGGACCTGGTTGGGCCACATCCTTAGTGTTGGAAGGCGAACGAAATCCTGACCCAGAAGATGCTGGCGATTTGCAACGTGCCTGAATTCAGCTGCCATTGAAACCTAGGAGCATCCTCCATCATTCTGAGCATCCTCCATCATTCTACCAAGCTACCCCTTCATGAGTACATGGCACAATGCTTGGGAAAGTGCACATTGACATGTTGCACACTTGAGCGCCCGTGGTGCAACTGCAATTGGTTTGTCAAGTGTTTGGAGCTGTTTGCTCTTCTTGTTGGGAATGGAAGGGCCTCCCCATGAAGATCTGTGCAGGTTTCGAGGCAGAGCGCTTTTCAGTTGATGCCCTGTACGAGAAGCTTCTGAGTTGGTTCGGAAGAAGGCGTGTCCTGCGCGCGGATGTTGTTGGCTGACCAAGATTCATTTCATTTCGGCAGGAGGGACAGCAATAAAGCAGTGCACTGACATGAGCTGCAAGCTGCCCTGAGTGTTAGGAGCTTCTACGTTGTGGGCGAGCTGAACTTTGCAGATGCGTGCCTTTGTCTAAAAGAGGAGTTGCTGTGGATTGTGCTGAGCCTTGGAACAACAGCCGTGCAAAGCTTGGCCCATCCCATGTTCATCAGTTTTCAATTGTTAAAGGTTCTGGCTTTTGATTTGGAAAACCTGTGGTCATTATTACTTTGCAGGTTCTACCATTTGCAGCACTATGAGCACCGCGCAACAGAGGAACATTCTCGCAATGTGTTTTGACATAAATTGCTTCGTGAATAAAATGGAAGACGAAGGCTTTCATGGTTCAACCTTAGTGATTCGCTACCTCACAACCAAGGTTCTCGTCCAAACGTGCTTTGGCAGCAAGAGATGCAGAAAGTGTGGTCAGCTGGGTTGGGGCTGGCGGGGCTGCTTTTGAACATGGCCCAGGATAGCGAGTGACATGGTCTCAAGCCGAGACCAGTTTCGTGCTGTCACACGGGACTCTCGATGGTGCTCTTTGCCTGTCTATTTTGTAGCATCTTGGCGTGTCTCATGACCAACCTTTTCAGCACATCCTCCGGTACAGACTTAGATCAAGAGCCTGTTGCACTCAGGAAACCATTCTGAACTATGACAAGCTGCCCATTGTCTCAGAAACTGAGATTTTAAGCACCTTGGCCGCTGATCATCGACAGTGCCAGATGCTGCTTCTCGCAATATGTCTCGTCCATCATTGCTTGAGGCCTGATTGAGCGGTGGAACGCCACAGCTGACAAAGACAAGTCAGACATTGTCCGGCTTCTAGCTTGCTTTAGGCAGCAAGCCTAGTCCCAAAAGACCCTGTCACACTTGACTCCGGTTGGAATGACACCGGCCTTCCCTTCATCTCATGCAGCGTTCAGCTGTTGAGGCCTAGTGAGGATTCCAAGATGGCAATGAAGAATTGGTGCCTTCGGCCTTGTTTTCACCCATGGGCTTGTTCCAATTTACTGATCCCGTAGTCAGCCCAGCTACATTAATCAAGCAGTTTGGTTTGCGGCCATACGAATCTATCACGTTTTTTGCCACAGCTCATCCTACCATCGCAAGCTGAGGTTATGCTTGATGGGCTGGGTAGACGATTCAGGCATTGGCTAGAGTTGCTGTGTGGGTCGAACATTGAACACCTGGCTGACTGCATTGAGATTCTCAACATGTGCTCTTGCCCAGGCAATGTGGTTTCAATCCCTGGCCTCGAGGGATTGGAGAAGATTATCTCTGGAAAAGCCACCAAAGGTGCAATGCGTGGAATGCAAGATTCGCCATGGTAGAGTATTTGATTGAATTTGTTCACCCTTCGGATTCTAGTGGCCTTCCGCCATCATTCATTGAAGGCAAGAAGCCTCGGAACTGCAAGAGTGCAGATGTGGACGTGCGAGACTACACCAAGGCAGAGGAGATTGCCAAGCGGTTTTCTACTTGGACTTGGCCAAGACCAAGTCGGAAGTCTAATGAAGTTCTTGTGTTTCTGAAAGGTGTTCAGGAGATGCATTGTGGGACTGCCAGGCCATGCTGGAAAACTACCATTCTGACCTGCAACCGGAAGGCAGTCACAAGCAAGCAATGTACTGTTACTTTGTATCTGTGTATATATATATATACGCACATACCCCTATATGCCTTATACTGTGTGTGCGACATGGGCACAATTATTTAAAGGGCCGTTAAATGAAGGGAGTAGTAGTGGCAACTTCTTCCAAAAAGGCGGTAGCAGGTAACATAGACGACAGCTTTGCCTCGCTGTGCCTCTCAGACTCTTAGGGTTGGTTCATGGGGCGTTCTGTCCAACAGTATGACAGCCGTCATGCCGTCTCTCGTTGTGGCATTGGATGCAACTGTTGTTGGTGAATGTGAGTTCTGAAAGTGAAGGCAATGAGGATGAAATTGATGCGACCTTCTTCCACTACCATGGCAGCAAGGCTGGCGAACACATGCGAACACCAACTACGCTGACAATGACACAACCATGCTTATCATCCATGCTCGTTTTGCCCCTTGTGAATAATTAATCAGGAGTGCCCAGGCCCTGACGCGCCCATGCATTGGCTCCTTTTGTACCAGGTGTTGGCACAAGGCTGTTCATTCAATCTCGGTGCTGGCGATCGATTGCTTCAGGCGGAACAAATGCAGTTTGAAAGGGAACCAACAGCCGCATGAAAAGGCGTTTCAGTATTTTGTTGCCTGTTGTTAATTATACTATTACAGTGTTGCGGTACTCCACATTGCTCCAAGAATCTCCAAGATATAAGGATGTGTGCGCCGTACTTCAAGATGGGTTAGTCCCGAAAGTAAGTTTGTGCCAAATGCCTTTACGGAACAGTTTTCATGTTCAATAGTGATCGAGCAGGGCTGAAGCCGCTCTTTTGGAGTGCTTCAGGCTGACGTTCTGAGAGATTCTGGAATCAGCCGTTTACGAGTTGCACTGTCAGCCGCTGGACATCACTAGGTGCTGAAGTGTGTAGGCAGGCATGATTGGACATCCAACCAATGCCAAAAACACTCGGCCCTAGAAGCTTTCCTAACCAGCATGCTTTATATAAACATGTTCACTCACTGATGCTGCCTTTGAGGAACCTTCCTCCTTGCTTTGGAACCCGGAGCACGAGGTCTTCGTCGGGCTTTCATACGGTGAAGGCACGGCACTTGTAGGCACCAAAACAGGAATCGTTTCACCTGTAGTAACAAGAAGCTTTTTAGTATGTCTTTGAAACTTCTTACTCGCATTATCCAACAAGATTCTTCAGGACTGAACATATCGTGAAAACTGCAGGCTACTGTTGCTTGAAAGGTGGAGCTCAAAGACATGACCCTGTTGTGAATAGACATGGCTGTCAACTGCAGATCAGTAAGCATAGTGTTGTTCATCGCAAGCCTTTGTCACAATGATGCCAGCAATTGAGGCAAATACTTTGGCTTCCTTTGTAGTGCATCGGCCTTTTCGGGCAACTTGGCATAAGGGCACAGCATTTGGCTGAGTGAACTTTCCCTACACATGTTCATCATTTCTTGAAAGCTGAAAGACACGGGCAGTAACTTGCAGATTGGCTTTGTGGAGTTTGTGGAACCGTGCTTTGGAGCAGAGATCACAACTAATAGCAGTATAGTACCTACTCGGGGATTATGTTTCAAGGGTTGGACGCTATTGGCATGTGTTTGCACAAAGCTCATGGATTTTGCAAGGCATTTTCTCGGTGCGAGCGCTAGCATCAGCTGCACCTGCGCCAAGCGCACCGGTGCATCTCACAGGTTCTGGGAACAAGGCCTGAGATAAAGACCGGGGGGGTAGGCCGCTAGGAGGATAATTAGGTAGCTACTAGCTAATTCGCTCCTAGGAACAAAGGGCATCGCTACTAGGAACAAGAACGCTACTAGGGGCTCCTGGCCTTACTACTAGGAGCAAGTACGCTCCTAGGAACTGGACGGAGAAAGGAAGCTCCCCCCGGGGTCGCACTAATCCTGCCCCCCCTATTAAGATACACTCGGTTGTACTTTTTTAATGGGGGGTCCCTGAAATCGGGGGGGTCCAAAATAGGGTCACCTGGGAAGAGCTTCGAGAAAGTCATCCATAAAAAACTATAAAACATCATTCATTAAACTCGTATCAAAAATTAAAAACCCTCCAGATCGAGGGGTATTCCTTTTCCCCCTACAAAAACCTTTATTAGAATACTGATTCTTCTTACCAAAGCTTTTGAAAGGTGATGTCGCTGTGCCATGCGGTTTTGCACGACCTCGGTGGCAAGTGCGTTTGCGTGAGTCCGTGCCATTGGAGGAAGGAAAACCTGCTGGTGTAAACGCGGCGTGTCATGGTGGATACACAGGGCAGACAGATGTGGGCAGTTACGGTTGCTTTTGGAACCTAATAAAAGAAACTAACCCCCAAAATTGATCATGTTGGTACTTTATTAGCGGCTTGAAAGGGCGGTAACTTAAAAACAAATATAAGCCGAACTTAGGGCTTCGGACGTGCTGTCTTTCACTTGGGGCGGCCTTTTTAATAGGTAATCAGGATTAATGACTTGGCTCCTAGATTTTTAGGGAAACCTACCTTGAGTCCTTGTCCATACTGTAGTGTGTGCACGGGAGCCTTTTCAGTGTGTATGTGTGTGTGGAAACTGAACCCTGACAATCTGATGGTTGTTTGCATCGCGAGGAACGCTCCATCAAACTACTCTCGTTTTGGCTGGTGTTTATGCTTGTTGTTGCGCCTTCGTCGATAGTACAGTTCACTTTAGCCGCCTGTCAAACTCAGAGACCGCAATCTGTCAACTTTGAGTTCTGGCCATTGAAATTTGTACGGAGTCCTGATCCTCCTAGAAAATGGTCCATGCCCAGATGGAATTCGACCTCGGCTTGGAGATCCAATTGCACCGGGTGGATTTGGTGGTCACCTGCGAGCTGAGCTGCATCTTCAAGAATGAATACTTGACCAAGGTGCCCGAAGTTGTTTCAACATATTGAGCAGACAATATTCAATAGTCTCTTCATTATGATTCATTATGCATATAGGCCGAACAGTTATTTGGATCGCGCTTGGCTGTGCCGGAGCAAACTCCTCAATTGTGTTGAGACATTGGAAATAGAAATTGTGCGCCTGATAAATACAACCGGACTTATGTTTTTTTGGATTAACTGATGCTACAAGATGCTACAATGACTTTTTGCCCGCCCCGCAGGAGAGATTTCAGATATCCCACGACACGCTGGTGAACGGGCCTGGCCTCAGGTACCAGTTGGCCACTTGATTGAAGATTTGTGAGTTCTCACGTGCCATTCTATGTACAACTGTGGTCAGGCCAGGCATCAAAATCGAATAAACCTGCTGTAGAGTGGGCGCAGTGCAGGTACCAGAACGATGTAGTATTATATATAAAATATATAGTTATACACGTTTTTAATGACAAACCATTGGAATAGTGCTGCGCCATAGCCCTTTCAAGAGTCCCCCCTCGGTTTTCGTCAAAGTTTGTTGTTTCTTATTAACTTGCCTTTGACTGTGACAAAAAGAGAGAAGATTTTGTCACTAGGTTCAGGCCGGCCATGCCTGCTACTGTAGCCACCATATGGAGTTGTGTGTTCCCTTGCTAAACTAGCCACTTAGCAGCAGAGGAAGGACCTTTGTCAGTTAGATTAGCATCCTCAGAGTCCTGAGACTGCTTCAGCAACAAGCTTAAGGCGGACAAACAGCTCCAAAAAGCACACAAGCTTCCCAAAAAGTTCTTTGAAAGACTTTGCGTGACAAGGTCGGAACTGGGCTCGAGAAATCAAGAGTTCTAGTGAACTTGGCCTGGGCACCACCGCCATGCTTACTTGATAGACAACTGTAGCCTTTTGTGTAGGGTTCGGTCCATCTCAGGACATAGATTTGTTTATGTGTGTGTGTGTTCACATCCGTTTGTGCATGCACTAAAGCGCTCAAGGTGCTGAGAAGTTCAGACTTTGTCCAGGGCAGTTGATTGCTATTGAATGTTCTACTGTAGTTGGCCAGGTCAGTGGCGGAGGTCCATCAAATGACAAACACGTTGACTACGGACCCATTGGGCAGCTTGATTGGCATTGGTCAGTTGACGTTGACGTGCCAGTCATATGTGTGCTGTTTGGTGTTGGTGAAAGATGGTGACCGATGAAAGAGCTTCGTGCACCGACTGCAGGTTTGTGGAGGGTGAATACTGATGGTATGTGGCAGTCAGTCAAACAGTCCAGGTTAAACCTGACATGGTTAGCATATTTGTCATTGAGCAGGTGACTTTGGTCCATACAAAGCATATACATATAATGCAAACATTGGATTAATAAACCTCCCCTAATTAATCCGAGCCCACAAAGCCTCGAACAATTGTACAAATTATAAGTAGTTTTGGTGGCTAACTTCCCCCTCAATCATTTAGTTGGGCACCAGAACCCCCCCCAGTCAATCCGAGCCCGCACAATCAGGCGATTTTTTCTATTACTGCTACTACTACTACTACTACTCCTACTACTACTACTACGACTGCCACTGCCACTGCCACTGCCACTGCCACTACTACTCCTACTCCTACTACTACAACAACAACTACTACTACCACTGCTACTACGACGACTACTACGACGGCTACTACTACGACTACGACGACTACTACTACTTCTTGTGCTACTTCTACTATCTTCTACTACTACTACTACTACTAGTAAAACTACGACTACAACAACTACTACTACGACGACTACTACGACGACTACTACTATTACTACGACTACTACTACTACTACTATTACTACTACTTCTATTACTACTAGTACTACTACTGCTGCTACTACTACTACTACTACCACTACGACTACGACTACGACTACCACTGCTGCTACTACTACTACTACTGCGTCTTCTGCTACTTCCACTACTACTACTACTACTACTAGGACTAGGACTAGGACTAGGACTAGGACTAGGACTATGATGACGACTACTACGACTACTACTACGACTACTACAACTAGGACTACCGACTACCACTACTCCCTTAGCAGATTATTCAGGGGATGTGGACCTCATGAATGGTACCTCAGACCTTCTAGGCCTTCTAGACCTTCCACGTGGGGGAGGGTTATTACAGTAATCCGGTCTCCGCATTATGCGTATATAATATTTTTGTGTGCGTGTGGATTGTTGTTGTTTGACTGGCGACGCTGCCAATGGCTTTGACTTGCAGAACTGCAAGGGCAAAATGAGACGCATGCAATCAAGAGTTTCACCGCAAGTTTCACCCGATTTCCGAATGCGTGAGGTCTAGTGTGGCACAAGGAAAGCGTTTGCTTAAAGATGCAGACAGACGCAGCAGATGTGCATTGTGCCTTGTTAGAAAAGGTTCAAGTGACTGGGGGAAGGCTCACCTGACTTCAAGTGGCGCCTCGGTACAGTTCTTCTTCAGCACATTCACACCTTGGAAAACAGGTGGAATGGGCCAATGAGCGAAACAAAGGCAAAGGTGGAGCCGGCCATATTTACATTCCATGTTGATGGCAAGGTTGCTCCATAATTATCATACTCATGGCACTGTTGAAATTGAGAGATATTTGAGAGACTTGGCTTTGGTAAACAGAATGCTTTAGATTCTTTGCGCTGTGAAGGTGGTCATGAGGCATGACTTTGTGTGTCCAGCAAGTTGCCATGCCACGGACCTGCCAGGGAAGGGTGGCAAGGAAGGTAAGGCCCCAGTGATGGAGGTGCTCGACGAAGAGAAACCTGAGCCATGCATCAGACAGACAGAAGAAACAATTCTGCAGTCCAATACATATGCCGGAGAAATGCGTACATACTATACTGAAGGCACTGAAGGCATTGACTTGGGGTAGCCAAATTGATAAGCATCCTTGTGCAGGACTGGGGTAGCGCGTGGATGGGCAGTCAGCAGCTCAAGTATAAATGATATGCCTGAGAGAGAGAGAGAGAGAGAGAGAAAGAACAGAGATGTCAGAACGCATTCCATTTGCATCTCAGATTGGGGTCACGGTCACCGTCATGGGGGCGGAGGCTCGACGAAGTTTGCAGTCCAGGCAATCGTAGTTAGAGATTTGTATAAGTTCAACCGGCAGACAGTTGTGATTTTCCAATTGGGTCCTCCTCATTTGGAGAATGCGGGACTCTCATCGTACAGTATATGCTGTATCGTGTCCACTTGACCTGGGCATCCCACAGGGGAATGGCATCCCGCCGGGCAACGTGGCTGGGAAAATGGCCGCCATCGAGGCGCCACTGGACTTGTGTTCCCCATGGCAGCCATAGAAGCAATGAGACAAAGTAAATACTTACAGCACAAACAATGCAAAAAAAAAACGGCAAAAGGTAAAGCAAGTGAATTGCAAAAAATGATTGAACAAAGTAAGTCTACCTTTACGTCCACGTATTTCGCTTTTGTCCTAGAATCATAGACAGGATATGGCTGACTGGCAAAAATTCTTATGAGTGCAGAAATGGTATCAGGAAAAAGCAAAACAATACATCAAAGTGCATGGTTTTCGCATGTTCATTTGCTTTCATTTTGCTTTTGTTTGGAAGGGGGTCGCTTTTTGCAGAAAATATGTGATGTTAGTTTGGTCCTGTTTGGTCATGTATAGCTGACATTGATCGACATAACACTGGACCCTTTTTACATTGATTTGGCGGTGGTTTGATGTCTTCATTTACTGGCACTAGGTTCCAACACATTTATATGGTTGAGTTCTTTTTTCAATAACATTGCATCGTTACATCATGAGCCTTCAAAGCGTGTAGGTTGAAGAAAACATCTCATTGACCTCGTCCCCTTTAGATACTAAGCCTTTCCCGGCGCCGCACAGCACAATCACCGTGGACCATGCGGGCTGCCTGAAAAGTGACTTACTCAATAAGTGTTTAATTGTTGCTAGGCAACTGCGTCGTCACAGTGTACTGGAGCTGAGCCCTTCAGCTCTTAAGTTTGCCCAAAACACCAGGAGGGCAGCTGTTCGTTGGGAATTTGCCAGCCGATACCGATGAAGATGCCTTAACTTTTGTTGTGGCCTCAGACAGATCATCTCGTACCGTCCCACGCGAACAGGAATGGGTCTGGGAATCTAGGTGTGCAGAGCGACTCCTGATTGCGAAGCCTGACAAATCATTACTTAAATGTCATTTGTGCTCCATGCATGCTGGTACATTGGCTAATGGCGGTTCCCAAGCCACAGGTCCTGAGGTGCCCAAAGATGGCCTGCATGACATGGACATTGGGACTTGCACCTCGATATGTTGACTTCAGAAACATGGCCTGAGCCCAGAATTATATTGGTTTGGCAGTGTTTCTTGGGTTACGGTATATGTCATCAGAGCGCCCTGAAGCATGGGCTAAAGTCGTTGAATGTGGAAAGGCAATCACCGCGTGTGGAAAGAGTGTTCAGTGGAAACCTGCTTTGCAGCTTCTATGCGAAGCTGGCGCTGCTGCGTTACAGCGGAATATAGTTCTTTTTTTCTGCTGCCATATCCGCGTGCAGTCAGCATGCACACTGGCAGGATGGGTTGGTGTTGCTGTTAGACCTTCACACCAAGAAGCTTAGATTGAACAACATAGCTTCAAATTCAATGATGAGCGGATGCGGAAAGTCTGTGGAGTGGCCAAAGGCGTTTGCATTGATGCAGGGTTTCAAGCAAGGCGGTGCTCAAGCAGATTTGGTGACCTTAGGAGCTGCGCTCAACTCTTTGGAACGAGCGGGGCGATGGGCAAAGGCCTTGCAGCTGTTTCACGATATGCCGCCACAATCTTTGCAGCCAAACGTTGTGATTTTTGTTACTGCCCTGACCGCATGTAGTAGCGCAGGGCATTGGCAACGTGCGCTCGACATTTTTGCCACAATAGTGGCACAGAGGCTTGGAGCCAATCTTGCAGCGCACAATGCTGCAATCACAGCATGCGTAAGGGGTGAGCAGTGGCAACGGGCTTTGGTGGCATTAGGGAATGCAATGAACTGCAACTTGAAGCTGAATGCTATAACCTGTAGCGCTGCCCTGAAATCTTGCGAGATCGGATCAGCCTGGCAGTCGGCCCAGTTTTTGCTTGAGCGCATGACTGAGGTCAAGACTGAGCCAAACTTGATCATGTGCAACGGTGCCATCAGCGCACTGAGCAAAGGACATCAGTGGCAACTTGCATTGACAATGATGAAAGAGATGGCAGCCATGCCGTTGGAACGTGACATAACGACCTTTACTTCAGCCGTGGGTGCATGTGCGGAGGCAGAGTGGAAGAGATCACTGTGCCTTGTTGAGGCAGCAGCTTTGCTGCACATACGCTCGGATGTTGTGATTTACACAATTGCGATCAAGTCCTACAGTCTTGACAAAAACAATAGACAGAACTGGCGCCTGGCTATAGGAGTCTCTGATCAGCTGGAGGAGGTCAGCATAAAGATTGACACTGCCTTTGCTGGAACTGTAATTGGTGCATGTGGGCAAGCTTCGATGTGGAGGTTGGCAATGCAAGCAATGCATGCAATGCTCCAGGAACTGCCTGAACAGAAGTTCCGTTCAGGTCCGAGTTGCAGTGCCTTATACACCAATGTCATTGCCATGTGTGGACAGCAAGTACAATGGCAAAGAGCACTTTTTTGGATTCAACACATGAGTGACCAGAACTTTGCTGCAAGCACTGTGCCATACACAGCAGCTATGGCTGCTTGTGCTGATTCTGATCAGTGGCAAGCTGCGCTGGTTTTATTGTCGCATTTGGAGGAAGAGAAGTGTCAGTTGGATGCAGTGACTTACAGCCCCATAATTGCATCTTGCCATTGGCAGATCTCGCTTGTTTTAGTGTCAGAGATGGAGCAGAGGACTATACAACGGAACCTGATAACTCTAAATTCTGCCATTCACGCGTGTGGGAAGTCGAGCAGGTGGACAGAAGCCTTGCTGCTCTTTCATGGCTTCGAAGGTCAAGGCATTGAGCGAGACATTGTCACCTTCAACTCTGCCATGCTGGCGTGCTCTGCTGCAACACGCTGGGCGTCCGTTTTGAATGTGTTGTCACAACTAAATCACAGCCAAATTAAAGGAAATACTCTCACTTACACGATTGCTGCAGGTTGTGGTTGGGCCGTCCCGTCGTCCCACAGAATCTTGGCAGCTTTGGAGAGTGCCGGGATTGAGATTGTCAAAGAAGCCTTGGCTTGAGATCAAGAGCAGCTGAAAGCTCTGATCCTTCCAGTTGGCTGCTGCATTCTTCAAACATCTTCAATCTGAGCCGGACAAAAATTAATGTGCTGCGTGGACATGAAAGAAATGAAGATTGACTTGACATCAGAACTTTCAGTGTTTGACGTAGACGTAGACAATTTGTGGGCTTGCCCAGGTCTTCGGGAAGTATGGCCCACTGGACAAGGCGCGGGTCGCGAACGCTGGTTTGTATTGGTTGAGGCCGCTCATGTAAGTGACGACTTGAATGAAGTGCAAAAGCAATTGTCCTTGTCCTGTGTTGAAAGATGCTTGAACGTCAAAAGCTGAGTGTTTCACAATTCGAATCTGTTGCAATGCGAAGGAGCAAATCATATTATCGAAGTGTATGTGTGTTGCCTCAGTCTATCTTTGAGCAGGTGCACGTCATTTGCGGGCGATCGAAGAACTATAGGAGCTGTGCTTACGCCAGAATCTTAAGCTGAAAACAGAGGTGACCACAAAAGAGTGCGTGTGACAGAGCTTGGGCCAGATGCCAATGCCATAGTCCAAAGGTGCCAGATCTCTTACACGACTACTTCTGCATCTTCACAGATGAGCCTAGCAGTGATTGGTTTTTAAGATGCTGCAAGGTCGAGTTCCAAAACATTGAGGCGGTTCGAAGCCAAGAGGAATCACTTATGACGGAATTTGAACACCCTATGACATTAAAAGTTATTCAACCACTCGCCTTGGCATAGACCGATTAGAAATGCACATGTTGCCAAGGCTGACATGGCGTTGCAAACATTGCATCAAAAATACCGATTCAGACAAGGCCTGCTTGTGTGTTTGTGTGAAACCACTTGATGGCTTGCTTGATTGTTCAACTCAATGTTCATTTGTGTCCTTGCTCTGTGTGACAATAGGAAGCAAGTAGCAAGGTGCACTTTTTGTGATGCGCCAGGTGAACAGCCCATCTATATCGATTGGGCGAATGATGGCAGAAGACCTGCACCTTACTGAGGTCGTACAGCCAGGCATTTTCAGTATTTAACATATGGATCCAGTCGAGACTATGTCGAATCTCAGGTGTTCAAGAGTTATGCGCCATGTTTGTTCAAAAGACTCGTAACTAACTCCTAAGTCCCGAGTTCATCAAGCCGCATAGAGCGTTCTTTTGGTTTGGTGTTTGACCATGCTGTTTGGAGCCATTCGGAGTGTGCCACATCTGTATATACGCAAATTTTGCAGGGCTGTGGCAGATGGCTCTTGAAAGCCAAGCCACATCTCACGTCTCACCAAGCCTCGACAGTTAGCCCACAAAGTTAGCATAAGCAGAGCAGCCAGTCCAAAGTCCCGCGTTCTCGGACCTGAGCAGAAGTGCGGCATTGACATGTAGATGTGCCTTGCCCATCCCAAATATAACTATATATATATATATTCCGCTTTGAACATCCATCATTCTGAGAGCCTTCAAAATCTATGAAGGCTGATTGTGTTTGTGTTGTAGTTGTGCTCTACCACGATGGGCTTGATGTTAGGGACCATGAAAGCTCTCTCAATTGCGTGCTTCCATTATATGCCATATGCTTTACCCACAATGTGCCCTTCATGGATGAGTTGAAGCGAGAAGGATTTAATTTGTGAAGACTGGATAAGCTAACAAAAAATAGCTGCATCTAGGTGCTATGAGTGCCAAAAGCTAGATTACATATTTGGATCTCCTTTGCTTGAGGTGTCACACGGCAGCAGAACATGTTCAAGCATGCAGAAGAGATGTCACAACCAAGCGGTGACAGAGCTGAAGCCTTTCATGGCTCAGTGATGCTCAGTGTGCGATGATACATTTGTCATCATTTGTCCACTTTCATCAGCCTGCTCCAAGTGCCCTGTGTCTTTGCTGCTTTGGACCAAGCCTGGGCCGTGGGGGGCCAGGCCCCAAAATTGCAGCTGCAGCTGCTGGGGACGGGAGGCCTTCACAGACTTCACAGATGCTTTGTTGGCATTGTTTCTTTCCAGCTTTTGCAGTCAAAGCGGCGCATCGAATTGCATCCTTCTTATCAGAACTCTACGGCAGCAGATCTGAGAATGGACACCTAGTATTTTGGGGGAGCATTGAAATGGTGTTTAGCACGCTGGCATGCAGCCAAATGTTTCTGATTTACACACCCTGCTCCTCAGGTAGCTAGGATACCCCCGTGGCTGCCAAGAGCATGGGTGTCGCTCGTCTGAGTACTTTGAAAAAAGCATTCGAAAGACCCATTGAAATTTCAAGCTGTTACTACCGCAGCTGTGTTTTCTAACATTGAAATGCTTACTGTAAAGGCAAACGAAGCTGCTTTCAGGAGCATAAACTTTTTGTCGGCTCCTTGCCGCCTGACATTACGAAGGAGGACGCAAGCTCGTTGCATTGTGTGTTGGTTAGATTGTGAAACGAAGTGCTCTAATTGTTCTGCCATTGGGTCGCAAGCTCGTTGCATTGGTCACTAGGCGATGAATGTGCTTTTCAGCCTCCTGTAGGAAATTGAAACGGTCTTCAAGACCTATGGCGAACTAGCGGATGTTCATGTCATCTCTGGTGACAGCGGCCCCTGCATGTGTTGCCAGAGCTTCTGTGCCTATGCCCACAGCAGTATCTCTGATCTTCTCAAGAGACGTAATTATGTATAATATAGATCGTCGCAAGAAATCTGCCAGGAAACCGATCTGCCACTGGTCAGTCCTGTGACTCCGACTCAGTGTCAGAGGACTCTTAGACATTGGCAGGCTTAGCATTGCGATGAACTAACTCCCACCAGACTAGAGCATGCAGCTGAGGCGTTTGTCATGTACAAGTCCAGGGAGTCTGGCGACACTGCAATCCAGGCAGTGCAGATTCGGAAATGCAATGACGCAATTGTTGATGGATGTTGACGGCAGAGTTCATGCACGTTGAGAATGTCATGATAGAGAAGTTGAAACTGTATATATTTAGATATATGCATGTGATGCATATGCTATGCATATGCTATCAACACCAGAAAACCCCCGCATAGGTCCTTCATGGGGCGTGAGCCATGAGGTAGTTGTAGACCGCGCGGCGTTTGATATATATATATATATGTAGCTCCCAGAGGCTGGGAATTCATGGACGTGGCATACCTCTAGATTCTACTTGATTCTCGGTGGTGTTTGATTAGAGTGAGCCAAGCAAGAAACAAACCATAAAACTGGTTGAAAATAAGAAGAACTCTTGGAGAAAGGACGATGACGATAATTGAAGAAACATACTAAATGCTCCTCGAGATAGACAAGAGCAAACTGGCCCACAGTCTGGCAATATCGGTTAGAATTCATTCTGATATTTGTTTATGTTCATTTGCTACTTTCCCTTTTCCCCAAAAGCACCTGCAAAAGGTTCTCCTTAAAGAACAGCTACCAACCAACTTCATTTTCCTTATCATCCACCTTCCTTGCCATCGCCTTCATCATCGTCACCTTCATCATCATGTCGCAGTGTAAATGCCTGCTTGCAAATGTTTGTGCAATGATGTAGGTGCATAGAGGTAGCCGGATAGATTTACTGTAGGTGGATTGATGCAGGTGTATAGATGTAGGTATGTAGATGTAGCAGTGTAGTTGTACTGTTTAAATACCGCAACGACACTTCTACAGAACACCTACAATGTTACAACTGCCACATTTCTTTGAAAGTCACGAAAGGTGGCGGGCAGGCCTGTGGCCCGTCAGCGTCCATCAAGAGATGCCCCTTTCCGGGCCGGATGCGATCCAGCGTGCATTGTTCAAAACTAGTACTGTGACTTGAGGCAAAATTGAGCTTGTGCATCAACAGTTGTGACGACATATAGGTATACAGTAGTGTCCATGTGCACTTCGCTCGGGCAACCATTTCGCGCGGAACACGCGCTTCGATCATTTTGATGACCCGATGTCGCCAAACTGTCGTCGAGAAGGACGCTCGTGTTCGGCAACATGTAACCCTGGCATTGGCATGCGTTATACGCATCTTACTCCCACTGTGCTTTTGGGCTATACATGACCGTCTACTGTAGTGATCAGTTTGTTTGTTTTTCCGTTTTTGTCAATTATGTGTGTTGTGTTTGTGTGTTTGTCAAAAGGAGGTCACCTGCCTGGTATCCAAAAATGAACAGGCACACTATAATTAGGTTTAGGGGTTTTGTTTCGGTCCAAGTCCAGGTTTTACGTGTCAAATTATGTAAACAAATTGCGTCAACTTTATCCAATGATGTTCGAAAACATCACGAACAAAGGATCTGGAATGGTTGCGGAAGAGCAACTGCGTAGCAGAATAAAAGAATCTATGAGGCAAGCCCAAGGCTGCCTGAAAAGGGAGTTTGCTTTCAGATGGCAGGTCTTGAACAATGCCTGTGGCCAAGATCTTTATTGGCACAACGCAATTTATCATGTTTCGACGTGTGGTATCACCCCGAGTTTGCCTTAGACATATTGGGGGGCATTTCAAGGCTTCGTGTCCAGGATGACCAAGAATCCAACACACATGACTTGGACATGAGCAGATAAGAGTAGCTGAGGTGTACAAGCCCTGCACTTATGAAGCCAAACGCAAGACATTGTGTTTCTTTCACAGACAAGGAGAATGGCAAGGTTGACGGAAAGGTGTTGCCGTCCCACACAGTTTGCCAAGGATTCGGGAAGATGCCCCAAACGCAATTCAGGTGCTGGCAGCCACATCAAGAAAAGTGGCCTGGTGGTTTGACCATTTCATGATTTGCCAGGTGAATTGGGCCAGGTCCTCCAAAGGTGCAAGCTTGGGTTACGGGAGTGTTGGCAATACAGCAGCATCAAGTGGAACCAGATGGATGAATGATAAAGTGTTCTGCAGCACTGCAGATATAGAGGTACGTAAGTGTTGCCTGAGTGCGAGCGCGTGCGTGCTTGCTTGCCTGCCTGCCTTCCTGCCAGCCAGGTGGGAAAGCACTTGATGAGAGATTTGCTTGGTTTTTGCACCGTTTTGCCAGGGAAGGATGGAGGAAAGGGAGGTGGCTGGAGCAATGGTGGCAAGGCGAGATGTCACAATCACACGCCAACGTATTGGAATAGGATCAAAACAGAAAATTTTGAAACCAAAAGACATTTGAAGTTGAAGAACTGTTGGAGCCCGTTTGCAGGGAGATCACGGTGGTTGCTATGGTGGATGTGGTGGCTACGGCTATGGTGGAGGCTGCGGCTGTGGTGGTGGCTGCGCTGGTGGCTATGGCTGTGGCTGTGGTGGGTGTGGGGGCGGTGGTGGCTGCAGTGGCTGTGGGGGCTGTGGCTGCGGCGGTTACGGTCCCGGTGGCTATGGCGGAGGTGGCAGCTACGGCAGTGGCAAGGTGGGACCGTGACTTGCAATGTACGACAGTTCACTCTATCTATCGCGTATCGAGATGTATCGATTAGCTCCCCAGACTCGACCCCGTTTACAGGGCGCCAGTGGAGACTGGGACTCCTGGAGCAAGGGAGGCGGAGGCCCAGGTTGGAGCTGCTTCCTGATACAAGCAAATTCATTTGTGCAGAGAAGAGATTGGACTGATGTCATTTTATGTCGATCAATATTGTCAAACAAGCAGCGGTGCAACGCACAAGGGGTCTAGAAGCCAATCTGTGGAAAGTGCGCAATACATCGCCAATACTGTTTTTCTTGGTAGCTGTTTGCATAGCAGGAAGCGAAGGGCGGGATAAAGCATGATAAAGCGACTGGAGCTGTGAAGCTCTAAGCAGTTGCAGAGCATTGCGGAGCCGCAAAGCGGGGAAACCCTTCCTGAGACCTCTTTTGAGAGACCCCCAGAGCCGCACAGAGCCGCCAGACCAATCGCAAATCGCATTCGGACCTGGTCCCCCCACGCCTTGGCATTTTGCTTTCGATGCCATGGACGTGTCCAATGTTCATAGACTTATCAAACTACCCAGTCTCCAACAACTTCCACCTGACCTGGTCAAGAAAAAACAGCAAGCTAAGAGCCACTTGCTAGATCACGTTTGGGCCGGAAGACTGCAATAGACCAGAGCACGATGAACCCGATGCTGGGACACCCCACCCTGTCAAACATTGAGATCAGGAGATGTATATAGACATACTGTATATAGATGTATCAATTTGCTTCGTCAGCTCATTCAAGAATTACGATGTCGATGCGTTTGATTTGTCCATGTTGTTTACTTTTTTCCTGGCCAGCTGGCACCCGGCTATTTGTCGGCAACCTCCCTCCGGACATCACAGAGGATGCTCTCCAGTACGTTGGACTGCCCAGAAGCCAGAGGAAACGAAGAGAAAGAGCCAGAAGGAGCCTTTTGAGAGAACTGACACAATGTCTCAAGTAATCTGTCCAAACGATTCCCAAGGAAGCTTCTAGTTACCAGAATGCTTTCTTACAAAGAAGCTTCAAAGACATAAAAAGCTTCTTGTTACCACAGGTGAAATGATTCCCAACACTTCGTCATGTTGAATCAAGAAAGGACTTCAGATTAGCTGATTGTTCAAAGATGCGGTTTCTTGTTTGTAGCGGTTCTTAGATTCTGTCGATGGCAATCGTCATTTATGCGCAAGGTGTTCAGAGCCTACGGTACTGTGTTGAAGGCTCGACTCGTTTGATGTGCCCTTTGTGTGTGTGTCTCAGATGTCGGAATGCTTGAAGCAATTCCGCAAGAAGGATACGGAGGAAGATTCTGGAGCAGGTTCCTAATTCCACTCAAACAATAGCAGCGCATTTTATATCATGTTCATCATTCTTTTATACTTGCTTTCTCGACGACCAGATGACGTTCCGCAGTATTACAGTAATGAGTGCGGTGATGTTGGTGGGGTTCTTGGAAATCTTTGGGCGTGAGCCCGCTGTGAAAAGGTAGGCTATGCATCAGTCTGAAGCTTGATGGTGACATAAATGTTCAAATCACCCAACATTTTTGTAGCTGGTGGGGGCTTTCTTTGGAGCTGCTGAAATGACCATGTTGTGTTGTCCTCGATGTTTCCCATCACCGTTTATGCCGCAGACCTTCGTCATGTCTGGCAAGTCCAAGAGTGGTCAGAACTGCGCCTTCGTAGAATACGAAACGCCCGAGCAGGCCGGGACAGTGCGAAACTGTGTTTTTTCAATCATGAAAGACCTAAGCGAATCAGAGTTGGCTGGCTGTTTGGGGCATGTAGCTAGGAATGCTTCAGCGGCTTCAGTTCCAGTCTTGAAAGGATGCTCTCGTGCCCTGCTGCTTCCTCGGTTTGCAGCATTGATTTTGGATAGGCAGAGACGGCCGTTCAGACATTGCATGAGAAGTATGAGATCAAGCCTGGCCAGAAACCTTAGCATGAACAATGCAATGCACACACTTGAATACATTGCATTGCTGGTTTACTTCGTTCCCTTCACATCCCTTCACTTGATTCGTTGCGTCCAAGGTGCAGGCATGATACTGGTGAAGCGTGCAAAGAGTACAAGAGTTGGGCCCTACTGACATGTGGGGCTGAGATGGAGTGGGCTCGGAGTCACTTCAGGGAGATGCAAACCTGAACAAAAGATCAGAGAAAAATGTCCAGGTGTGGTTTGATTGATCATGTTCACTGTGTACAATTCCAATTTGGGCGACTCTTGACATACTCTACACGCAGCACTCTGATTGGAGTACTCCTTGGCTACTCCGAAGCTAGGAGGTCTCACTGGGTGGTTGTTGCCGGCTCTTGTGGAACACCAATGAGAAAACCACAAATCACAGAGTGAAAGAAATACAGCCACAAGTGCTGGCATTCGTGGCCCACACAGCAAAGGCTGGCGTTTGCCAAGAGAAGGCTTTGCATATCTTTGCATGCCTCAAGGCCGCTCGAGGTGAAGGGTTTTGACAACCACCGTGTGGAAAATAACACTTCGAGGCTTCGAGGGTAATGAGTGCCTTACAAATGCAAGTTTGGCTTCCAGAGACATTGCACGAAGTGGCCCAAGACATCCCAAGACCACAACAGAGCTGCGACAATGAAGCTTTGTAGGAGTAAAGGCTAGCCGCTAGCCGAAAGCAAAGGACTGCAATTGTCACAGGCAGTAGAATCACCAAACAATCCCTTGGCTTGCGATATGTCGTACTACCATGTACTACCATGCGATTGGTTGCTTGGCACTGCAAAGACTCGTGAGCTTCCTTAACTTACCGTCGCGACGCAACATGTGTTGGTGCACTAAGCATGGACTGGTTCGGAAGCAGAGCAGAGCAATGTCCTGAGAAGAAGTGGCGTGAGAAATGGCGAGCGACGTCAGAGATGAGAAGTCAAACTCGTGGGCGTCCTGGACATCGTGGGCCTGGACGCAGCTGAGCCACTTGAACAAGACATGCAAGGGCTGTTGGGGAAATGTGTTGCAATTTGGTCACTCCAAAGATCTCCAATCTAGGAAAACCTCAAGTGCCTTCCAATGCTCGTCCATCAGGAGAGTCGAGTCTTCCTTTTGCTAAGCATAATGGGAGCATAAAGCATTATGCCCATCCAGCATGTTTGCTAAGGTGATGAATCCTCTCCTTTATCTTTTGTGCTGGGCAACAGCACCTTGAACAAAGTGTTGGCATTTGCAAGACAACAACACATACCGTGTAAATCCGTGTAAGGAAGGTGGCTCCAAGATCATTGTTGGGTACATAGGTGACTGGCGATTCTTGAAACGGGAATGAGCCACCTTTTCCAGCAACACTTCAGCCACCCTTCAGAACTTCAGCCTTGATGCGTGTGAGGCGTTGACATGGCCGTGCAATATGGTTTGGAGACTAGCTTTGGTTTTATTCAAACTGTGTGCGCAATTATCGGAGCTGTCAGCATGACTGGTGCTGCCAAGAGGGCACTGCACCTTGGGTGAAGTTCGGAATTATGCCGATGCCTGATTGCATCACATTGCATGACTGCATTTCCCATCTTGGCAAAGACATTGTTGTATAACAGACAGTGATATAATAGATACAGTAATTTAATTGACATGGGAAAGAATCGGGCATGGCTCGACTGGCAAATAGGTGTGACATGGTGTGACATTGGCAATTCATTCCATTGAGGTACCCTCACGCACGACCAGTAGAACCACTCTTCAATCGCCTTCGCGCCGAAGGGGGTCCTCGCTTGTGGTCCCACCAGCGCGTGAGGCTGCTGGGGGGTGCCGGCACAACACGGCATCACATCATACACTCCGGATTAACTGTTTGCCGGGCTTGTTGCATTGACAACAGCATGAGGTTTGCGGCTAATCCATACAAGTACCTCAATCACAATAAGTCTCTTGGCTGTTTGCATTGCGCCGCATTGTCACCAGCAGAATAGCATGGAGAAAACAACAGGGAACTGGGTAAACTATGGTAAATCTTTAGATGTTTTATCAAGGCATAGAGTCATATAGAGTCACAGTAAGTCGTAGATGAGTTTTGGGTTCGATGCTGTTTACAGGTATATAAGTCATTTTGGAGTAGTGGAGTCCATTTCCTCTCGCCTAGGATCGTCATTCTGCAAGGCGACACTCTATCGGGGAAGACAAACTTATTGCGTCATGCGATTCCTTGGTATAGACGTTGGACCATTTGGCCTTTGTCAATTCTTTGTTGGCGCGGCATTTACATGAATGGTCCTGAACTGAGGATGGTTTGATTCCCCACTCGCACATTTGGTTGTGCTTGATGCTTTTAGCTTGTGTGCGATCGTTTCAGAAAGTTTCGCCCCGCATTGTCCCAGGTGCTGAATCGCAGAGGATTGATACCTTCCAACAGCACCTCACCCACACTCAGGGAATGCGTCCGCATTTTTTAAGTGACAGTTTGGGTGGAGCCAAGCCAGATGCTTCACATAGAATCGAGGTGGGTAACCTTCCAGATGTTTGGAACAAGTCACCGGGCTGGATCAGAGATCAAGCAGTGCACCTCATTTGCAGAGAATTCAACTGCTCAGAGCACTGCATACCGGCATACTACGGTCAGGATTGAGCTTGAACCAGTAGTGTAGCATCCTCTCCAGGTGTTTGGGCATATCGAAAGCAGCAATGGCTGTGGCTGGTGATGGAGAAACTTAGGGTTCCATTTCCTTTGCTATTGCCAAAGCCTGTGTTCATCATCGTTGACCAATACGAGGAACTTTTGAAGAATCATAGCGGCAGTCGAGATTCTTTTTTCGGAGCGGTTCAGCTTTATGAATTACACACAAATTATATAAGAGAAATTATGTATACGTGTGCGTTGTACTGTATTGCCACACCTCACAAATTTGAAGCGGACCCACTGTTTTTAGAGAGATGAATATGGTTTGTTGATGTTTGTGTTTGTAGATCCAACAAGGACAAACATAGATTGGATTGCAGTATATATTCAGATGACCAGGGTATGCTTAAGTTCACCGATTTGTTTTTGGCTACTTTCGGCCATAAATGTGCGGCGCGGCGGGTGGCATGTGCGCTGGCACGGCTAGACGGGCTTGAACACATCCACGGTTCGGGTACATGCCTGCAGTCTACTAAGTGGAATGGAACTGTCGGAAATTGGCAAAGAATGTCCAAAAGGAAGGAGCGAACAGGGGCCTAAACATTGGCAGTTTTGGGGTCCGATCAAAAGATGGATGCTGTCGTGCCTCACTTTGGGGCTGCCGTGCCCAACGCGGATCAGCGCGGATCAACACGGACCAGCGCGGGCAACGCATGCCCAAAATATCACGCGAAAAGAATGCTTAGTTTGGCGGCGTGGGTTAGGGCGTGTTACTGGGATATACCAGGACGATCGTGGACCATCGCCCAGGACTGGTACCACGCCCTAACCCACGCCACCAAACTAAGCATTCTTTTGGCGTGATTTTTGGGTTTTGTGTTGCCCGCGCTGATCCGCGTTGATCCGCGCTGCTCCGCGCTGGGCACGGCAGCCCCAAGGGCGGACACGGCAGCCTCAAAGTTGGCATGGAGCATACGTGTGTATTGGCTCGAGCATTCAACAACCTTTCTTTTTGTGCCCCTCCTAAACCTCGACTCCCTGTTGTTTTCCTACCACACCCGCGTGTTCCATGACAGCGTTGAATCGTAAATCCAGCTCCATGTGAGATGCGGTTCTCTCCATCAAAGGAATATGCGCTTGCTTTGCTTTTTGAAGTAAGTCATGGAGGCTTTACCGCGGCGCAACACACCAGCGACTGTCGCAGTCGCCAAGCAAAAATGCCCTTTTAAGCCAAAGTGTCCCGCCCCATTAAA